TTTCACTCAGGAGTGGAGAAAAAAATACATAGATAAGACAAAAAATTAATACAAGATGAGACTTACAGTTCTAAAAATATAGGCTATAAGCTGCATCTCTGATCCTCTGAATCTGAAGTCCTTTTGTTACTTAAAAGCCTTTCTGAGTATGTTAGGGAAACATGTAAGCACCCTGGGACTCCAAGGGAAAGGCAGCATGCATTTGCCCATGATGTTCAGTGAAAAGCAAGAAGCCATATGATGCCAGCAGATGGGATCCATCCTGTGGTAGTAGTTGCAGGAGGAATGAATACAAGGGCTTCAGAAAAGCCTATGTCAGGTCATTAAGATTCATTTTGCATAGCCCAGCCACCTGAGTGGATATTTTCTTTCCTGATCAATTTTATAACTGGACGTAGGGTTCATTATTATAGAAGGTAGTGTAACATTTCAGATGCATGTAGACTGGAAAGCATTTCAAAATGGAACCACCATGAGGCTATGCTCAGGATTTTCCCAGAGCAAAATGTACTCAGTGTCAGTCAGTGTTTCTTCACACATACACACAGATGGCTATATTTACCCACAAGTATTTAGGCCTATGGGATGCTGAACTTGTGCATTTTATACAGAGAAATCATGGTGGTTACTCTGAATCTTAATAGAATTATGAGATATAGCCGCTGGCTTGAACACCACTTTCATTTTCTATAAGAATTGAGCAAATACATACAAAATGAACTTACAAGAAGCAGCTCCTCTTCTGAATGAATGGGAATGTATTGAAGAACCCTTTAGAAAAGCACTAGATTTAGCAGTGGAAATAGTGTAGAAGGTGGCATTTTAAGGTACAAATTTGCATCGCTTGGCTCAAATAATTACAAAAGAAGACAATAATAATGTGGCATTACAAAATTGTAGGGTTATTTTTTAAAGAGAGTACAAATTAGAATTAAAAGATTGCAAGTTTTAAAGGTGAAGGAGAAAAAGAAAAATCTGGCTACATTTTTAAAGGCCATATAGCACCGTAGAACAGTGTGAAATTAAGCAAAAAGAAATGCTGGACTACTTCCTGGGACATTTTCTCAACAGGGAGATGTATTACCAAGGAGTAGCGTCTCCTCAGGGCTGCTGTAAATGCTCCGCTGCTCATGTCATTTCATATGAAATACAGAAAGCTGCAGCAGGTGGTAGACAAGGTCACCTGGCAGGTCTCCTGCCTCAAATTTCTGTGATTTCAAGGTTCTGTGCTATTACCCAGCAAGGAGCACGACTTTTGAATGATTTCTTTTGTAAAGTGACCCTATGCATATTTCTCTTAGGTTCTACCTTTGCAAAATTCTTTTTTCCCCCAACTTATACTGTAAGATTCAGATTTGTCATCAAATTAGTGACTGATTTGGCATTGCAGGTCCAAGAAGTTGCAAAAGGAGTTAAGCAGAACTGTTTGCCTACTAGGACAGAAATGTGAAGCAGATGCAACTAGAGGAAAAGTGAAAAGATCACAATTGTGCACCAGCGAGTTTCTCTGCCTCTAAGTGGAATTTTGACTTGGACAACACACACCTGTTAGAAAGACTGCACTGAGTGCAGAAAACACTGCACATTAAACTTCCATTGACAAGACAAAGGAAAAACAAATGAATATACTGATTTAACACTGGCTTATTGAGGTTCTCAAATTGCAATTTAATTCTCTAAGGAGCCACAGGACAGCAAAGATCTTTGGGTGACAATGAGCTAAAAACTGGCTAAAAAGCCTTCTAATGACAAAGGTAGAGTGGAATACATGTGTGCCATTCCCATGATGCATGAAAAGCTATATCTTTTAGCCCAGGTCAACTTGAATTCACAGGGTGAAAAACCTTCAGGAAGCAACCATTGTTTGGTTTCCATTCTAAAAACAAGATTATGTCAGAATGGTTCATTCTCTTTTGTGAATGGAACATATTGTGAATAGGGTGTACGGTAAAAGAGACTGTGGAATACTGGAGGCTTCAGTACCTTTCAGCAGGATGCATAGTTGATTGTGCACTGTCAGAGAAAGGGATATTCTTCTGGATTTAATGCTTTGAACTAGACAAGAACAGCATTAGTCACCTACTGAGATATAATCTACCACAGAAGTATTGGGCCGTAAGGCTGATAAAAACAATTTGTGACAAATTCCTTGGTTCTGGGATGCACAAATAAAAGAAAATACAGTAACTCCTCTTCTCATCTACTCCTGAATCCTGTTCTTTTATTTTTCTTTTTACTTCACTCTCACACACTATTTCAGAAACATCAAGCATCTTGGAAACCTAGATACAGCAAAGCAGTCAGAGTTAACAAGCACAAATGCGAACAACGGTTGTTGGGCATAATTAGGCACACAGAACCCTTTGTTTTCCTTGGGGCCTGGATACAATAAGAAACACTAGACCCCTGCAAAGAATGGGAGGGCCATTTTCTGCATGTGTCAGGCTTCGGTGCTCTGCTACTTGTATTTATTATGCGTGTGCTATAACAGACCAACCACAGTGTCACATCCTCTGCTTCCTTAAATTTTGCCTCTGAGTGTATTTTTCAGAGCTCTTTTCCTGGTACTAGCTGTACAGCTATGTGTAGCATTTACTGTGTACTTCTGTAATTTATTAAAACCTTTTCTTTTTCTCACAAAAAACAAGTGTTTTTGAAATTTTACTCTGACTTAGTAATTTAAGTTTTATTCAGAGAAAAAATAAATGAATAAATTTATCAGCAAATATATCCCTGTTTATCATTATTTGAAGTCAAGGGAAATTAAATTATATGAGTGAAAAACAGTTAAAACTTTATCTTTTTTAATGTATTTAGTACAGGGTCAACAGGGTCTCACTAAGTAGCATGGACTCCTGGTGATCCTCCTGTTTTCAGCCTCCCAAGAGCTGGGATTTCAAGTGTGTGCCACCATGCCCAGTCTCAGTCACCATCTCAGTGTGCTGCCAGGGTGGGACCAGCATGGATTGTGGTGTTGGTGATCGAACCCTGGTCCCTGTGCTCTGCCTAAGCAGGTGCTTTAGTCCTCTGAGCTATCTGGCCGACACTGAAATTTTGTTTTTGAAATAATCTTGAAGAATTTTCACAAAGTTGTCAAGCCAATATTCTGAGACTTTTTAAACATACAAATCCTAAGGCCCTACAAAATAGCCTATTTTTTATAGACACAGGGTAAATAGTTGATGTATATGGGTTTAATACTTTCTTTGGAAAAGTCCACGCATTGAGATTATTACTACCATATGAATCCTTTCATATAAAGATCAATTCCAATTAAAATCAGATACAAAGCATATCCAAAGTCTTAGTTAATAGAAAACAAATGAAGTAAGAGAATAAATAATGAAAGAAGATACAAATTGTTCTTAAACAGTATTTATAAAATTCTTATGTAAATCTACAAGTTTATTTGAGCTAATTAGGAAGTTTAACAAAGTCAGTTATGAAAAGATCAACATACAATCATTAATGTCATTATAAATCAGTAATAAATGCTTAGAAAATACAAATGACCAGGGATTAAGTTTACAATAACCACAAAGTATAAATCAACCCCTAATATGTTGACTTGCCTTGTCTACAACATAGAGAGGCTATTCCATCTTCCTTGTTAGAAAACACCTGAAGGTGTTCAGATTTCTATCTGTACATCAGAGGACAATTTTTCCAGCCAAAGAGTAAATCCTGAAAACAGTAAGTCAATCTTTGATTTTTCCCATTCCCTTTGTCTATTATTGATTTTATGGTTGCCAATGAGATAAAAAAGTAATCATGTTCCTTAGTCCTATTTGCTCTTAAAACATTACACCAGCTGCTTTCTCTCTAGATTTTCCTGTGTCTGTATGTAATTACTGTGGGGTGGTCACTAAATGGGAAGAAAGGGTACAACAGGAATATTGAGCATAACCAAGAAGAAAGATGGAAGGAACTCAGATCTGTAATGATTACTAAGGGTATTAAGTTGGCAAAATCCTTACCCCACTGCTCTGGAATCCTTATGGTATAGAATATTATGCATTATACATATTTAAGTCATTTTCATGAGTATTTCAGTTACCTGGTATTGTTATAGCAAATATATCCAAGTAAAAATCTCATGGATATTATTTTTAGTATATCTAACTAATCAACAATTTTAACTCAAAAGAAAAGAAATGACTTTTATAAATTATTAAGAAATTTGAGCTACCCACTGGAAAAATCAGACAATGATATGAATAGAAAGTTTATTAAAAAACCAATAGAATAGTCATAAAAAGAATAAAAAAGAGCAAACAACTTACTAGAAATCAAAAAATACAAAGTAAAAATCATTTTGTATGTTTTAGAGTAGCAGAAGAAGGTGATATCTTACAATATTAAAATCACATTAGTGGTGGTTTAAATAATTATGAATTCTCATAGAGATTATGGGTGAATGAACTGACACAGCCCATATAAGAACAATTTGACTACACTTGGCCAAAGGTATCCATATTCTCAATCTAGTTATTTATTTACATTCTAGATATAGTTCCTAAAGATATTGCAGTACATAAACACAGAAATACATATCCAATAATATATGTGGTAATTTTATGATTAAAAAGATTGTATAAAATATCATAAAGAGAAGAGATTATTATTAATCATTCAATGGCATGATATATTATAATTGAAACTAATGAAATAAATAAATATATATATATAGCATAAATTTTACATGATACAATATTAAGGGATAAAATGAAATATGGGATATCTAGTACAATATTTATGCTGTTTTAAAATATGCAACATATACATTATTTTTATGAAAATGTTAAGTACTAAAAAGGCATTTTCTATGGATTATTCCAACTTTTAAAATTCTCTTGAAATCTTCAACTTTGAGCTCTCTTTAAATTGAACTTTCTGAAGGTTAATATTATTAAAATGAAACACTTGGTTTCCTGAAGAATTCCCCCAAAATTTTAAATTGGAAAACTATTTCTTTCTCAGGATTTCTAAGAATTACTTACCATTAATGACAAATCCACTCATCCAAGTGCTCAGATGAAAATCTTTGGAAATCACTGCAATGCTTCCTTATCTGCCACACATTGCATCCAATCAATCAGTCAATGTTTCATTCTAATAAAAAAAATATAACATGTGTGAAGTTGTGCACACATTTTGCAACCACCCTGGTTGTGATTACCTCTCCCTACCTGGCCCACTATAGTAGTTTTCTTACCCATCTGCCTGCCTTTTAGGCACTGTTCTCTAAGCAACAGGAAGACTAGTTTCTTTCCAGAAATTAGTTTGATCATGTTACTCTCCTGCTCAAAGCATTCACTGGCTTCCTAAGTCTCTCAGAATATTACATCTCTGTTCTCTTTGGTGCTACTTTGACAATCTAAGACTGCTTCCCTTTTCATACATGTTTTACATTTCTCCATTGGACTTCTCATTCCTGACATATCATGTTATTTATATCGATAATTGATTTGGCTTAGTTTGGTTTGGTTTGGCCTAGTTTGTTTGCCTTTATTTGGCTTGGCTTAGTTTACTCTCCCCATTAGAATGTAATCTGCTGGGAGTGGATCCACTGTTTTGTTGTATCTTTTACAGGTCAGCAACTGGCATATAGTAGGAGCTCAAACAAATGTTGAGTGGTTGAATTTACTGAGTCTGTATTCTGTTAAGACTAAAACAACTATGACAAAATTTTAAATTTGACAATTTACATGTTGTTATGGATGTTTGGTATATTTTCTGGATTAGTCAGCTTTATCATTGTGGACACAATACCGGACACTCACAACTTAGAGGAGAAAAAGGTTAATTTAGTTCACGGTTTGGGAGGACTCAATTGTAGGTCTCTGGCCCCTGGGACAGAACGTCATGGTCAGCAAACCTGCTTACGTTGCAGCACAGCCAGGAAGATCACCTGAGAGGAAGTGGGTAAGGACTAGACATAGCGCCCATGGCCACACCTCTGTGACCCACCCATACAATCTCAGGGGCATGTTCTACTAATCTGCTAGTTATATGTTAAAATCCAGTGAATCTGATATAGCAGGATTAAAGTTCACAATGTTATAACAATGAAAGCCTGTTTTTCAAAAAAATATCTACACTAAAAAATAGGTTTGGACTGGGAAGAGCAAGCTAACTTCCTTAGTTCCACCTGACAACAATGACAAAGTAAGTTTCTATTAGGTAACACTTAGGAATGAGTACCAGATACTTATTTTATGTTAGCTGATGTCATTGCAAACAATATGCTTTGTATAGGTTTGCATACTAAAACTAACTAATTTAATAAATTAAAATATCCAAAAATTGTTCTTAAAAGCTTCTTGTCTTTATGATATTCTGAGTTAGACATGTAACATAATTGACATTTATTTTTATCAACAATGGAATCTAACTAAATGACTATTGAAAAAATTTTAAGCTCTCTTTATGCTTCTGTGTGTCATGTACATATACAAAGATGGTCTCCATACAATAATTTTTTTCTTTTTATGTTCAACACAATTTGTTAAGTCTCTGGTGTTTAGCAGATATTCTAGGAATAAGTTATAATAATAACAACACGATTTATGCCCATAGTACACTTATTATAACAAGAATAAACATGTATATATTGCATTTTGTATATAACATTTTGTATACAAAGTTTGCATTCATCAATTCAATTTCAAATCAATCCCACAAAGAAATATGATAGATATACATTAAAAGTCACTGAAAGATAAATTACCTTGTCTAGGCCAGCAGCAAGAGAATGCCACCTTTGTAGTAGTGAGGACAGATTCAAATTTTGAAAAGTGTATACCTGTTAAATCTCAACTTTTATTTATTTATTTTTTTTAATTTTTATTTATTTGAGAGAGAGAGAGAGAGAGAGAGAGAGAGAGAGAGAGAGAGAGTGTGTGTGTGTGTGTGGTGTGTGTGTGTGGCCAGCTCAGCCCACCAGGGGGCGGGGCTGGCTGGCATGTGGTGCTGGGGGATTGAACCGCGGTCCCTGATGCTTTGCCAAGC